TACTGTTAATGGAGTTTTCAGCAAAACCAAATCTTTCTAGGACCAAGAACAAATACGTCCAGCTGACGCAATCAAAGGCCTTTTCGGCATCCAGACTAATTAGTACCGCTTTATGATTATTTTCTCTTACATTATTGATTATGTGGAGAGACAGGTATAAGGTTAAATGGTGGAGAGTCCCAGATTAGACTATCCTCTCTACATAATCACACGAGCCAAGAGTGATTATGGAGGTCTCCGTCTTCTAAAGAGAAGACAGATGGTTTGAAAGAGGAGTGAAAGAAGCATCTATGTCCACTGTGAACGGCCATCTTTGAACAGAGGCGGGGCTTATGACCCCAACTGTCTGCCTATAATCCAGACACCTTAACGCCCACTCACATCCTGGGCCATCTGACCTCAGTTAGTCACATGACAGGGTGGGGCTAGGTTTCACAATGAGCTCACCCGAAACTCTGGCTGATTGTGACCCACACCCGCTTTCACACCTTGGCTCGTGTGATTAGGTGGAGGATCATCAGGGGGTCCTTTGTCCTTCTTTGGGGGGACTCTCCGCCATTTGACCCTAGAACTGAAGAAGCTTCTTGGATGAGATGTGAAACGTCTTCAAGCAGCTTACAGAAGTCCGGACGCTCTTCTTTCCAAGCTACTTAGGCCATGGAGCGCTAGCTTTGAGTTGTTTCTGACTCATTGGAATAACAGCAGAATATTCATTGAGCATAAATATGCTTTTTAAAAATGTAATTCCTTAAATTTAAATTTGATACGAGTCTGGACAAACGTTCACAGACTGTATGTGCTGATGATATGTGCAAGTATCAACAGCATAAGCCGCTCTAGACGAACGTGACAAACTGATAACAACCTAAATATGCATCACCTTAAAATGTCTCCTCTCTCAGGTATCTGATAACGGCACCTCTATCGCTCCGCCTGGACGCCGTGGAGACCGTGGTGGTGCAGCTGTTTGGTTTTACAGGTGAAGTCACCGTCTACCTGTTCCTGAAGACATCAATGGCTCCGAGTCACCAGGTTCTGGCTCGGGAGGTCGTGACCCTCAATGCACAAAATAACCACCAGGCTGAAGCCAAAGTCCGGGTGAGAAAAGATGCTAACAGGCTAACACCTGCAGTTTACCTGAAGGCACCTGAAATACTTATGATGTCACTTCCTTTTTACAGCTGTACCCAAACCAGCTGGACAAGAGTGCAGATCATGTGATTCTCCATGTGCAGTCAGACGTGATCAATCAGCACCAGTCTGTGCCCATCAGTCGCACCAATGGCTTCCTGTTCATCCAAACCGACAAACCGCTGTACACGCCGCGTCAGAGCGGTGAGAGAAGTTTGTCCCAGTTCAGACTCCAGCCTTCTCATTAATCTTATGTTGTATAACCCATCTTTACACTCAGCTAGTCAGGTGGTTGTCTTGTAGTCATAAAGACAGACTGGTTTGGGGGTCTGAGGATAGAGGGTGTGGCCTGTTGAGGCTGCTGGAGCTCAAACTGCAGAAGTTCATGGTGGTTCTGATAGAAAGGTGCCACAGTACACAGAGCAGTTTGTTGCATAAGGGGCGCATAGTCACAGACCAATCACGTTACCCGCGCTGACCGTGTTCAGCTGACAGCACCAACGATGGGCACGAGAGCTTCAGAACTGGACCACAAATCGCAAATTATACAGCTCCAAATCCCAACAACAGTGTCAAGGTGCTTTATATTGTAAGGTCGACCCTACAATAATACATACAGAGAAAACCCAACAATCATATGACGCCCTATGAGCAGCACTTTGGCGACAGTGGGAAGGAAAAACTTCATCTGGAGGGGCGGGGCCATCTGCTGTGATTGGTTGGGGTGAGATAAGGAAGACGGGATAAAGACATGCTGTGGAAGAGAGACAGAGGTTAATAACAGATATGATTCAGTGCAGAGAGGTCTGTTAATACATAGTGAGTGAAGGAGAAACACCCAGTGCATCATGGGAATCCCCGGCAGCCTACGTCTATTGCAGCATAACTAAGGGAGGATTCAGGGTCACCTGGTCCAGCCCTAACTATATGCTTTAGCAAAAAGGAAAGTTTGAAGCCTAATCTTGAAAGTAGAGATAGTGTCTGTCTCCTGAATCCAAACTGGAAGCTGGTTCCACAGAAGAGGGGCCTGAAAACTGAAGCTCTGCCTCCCATTCTACTTTTAAATACTCTAGGAACAACAAGTAGGCCTGCAGAGCGAGAGCGAAGTGCTCTAATAGGGTGATATGGTACTACAAGGTCATTAAGATAAGATGGGCCCTGATTATTTAAGACCTTGTATGTGAGGAGCAGGATTTTGAATTCTGGATTTAACAGGAAGCCAAAACCGGAGAAATCTGCTCTCTTTCTAGTCCCTGTCAGGACTCTTGCTGCAGCATTTTGGATTAGCTGAAGGCTTTTCAGGGAGTTTTTAGGACATCCTGATAATAATGAACCAGGTGGAAAAAATCAAATATTACTCGGTGTGTTGGTAGATCTCCTCAGCCAGTCCTTGCCAAGGGTTCCTGTTAAGGTCTCCATCAGCTCAGAGCTGGATTTCATCTTTCAGGCTGTCTTTGTCATGGTTTCTGTAGTCGGATGACTCTCATTAACCTAAAAATTCAGACGATCCTCTTTCAGGTTCTCTGTTACACCATCACCCTCGTCACTCATACAGCTGTGTTTCTGTTCCCAGTCAAAGTGAGGGCGTTCTCCTTGAACCAGGAGCTGAGACCGGCTAATCGCAGCGTCTACCTGACATTTAAGGTAAGCGGGAAGTTGTCCTGTGTAGTAGCAGGAGGGTGCAGTGATAGGTTCCATAAAATCTTACCCCTCCTTCCCGCCAGGACCCGGACTATACAACAGTGGACATTGTGGAGATGGTCGATGTGAACAATGGAATCCCATCTCTGCAAAACCCCTTTAAGATCCCCGTCAACCCAAAGTAAGAAATAAGAGTGTAAAACAAGCGGCACACAGCTGCGTGTATCTAAGGTCATGTCTGTGATTCCAGGTTGGGCATCTGGTCCATTGAAGCTTCTTACTCCAAGGATTTCACCACAACAGCAACCACCGACTTTGAAGTTAGAGAATATGGTACATTATAATATCATGAAGCAAACTGCTGGTGCTGATCGAGGGTAAAACACACATTATTAATGGCTTTCACCCTGCATCAGTTCTTCCCAGTTTCTCCATCCAAGTGGAACCAGAAGCAAATTACATCAGTCACAATTCATTCACCAGTTTCAACTTCAAGGTTTCAGCCAGGTGAATAAACATTTCTGAACTATTTATAGACTTTCAAATAATTTAAAGCTGTCAGTTACACACGAGTGGTATTTTTACCTGTCCCAGGTATCTCCACGGCGCTCCGGTGGTTGATGGTGACGTGTTTCTGCGCTACGGCTATGTTAGTGGGAAAAGTCCTCCAGTTATCATCCCAAACTCTATCACCAGAGAAAGTGTAAGAGACATGAACAAACACAAGGACACTTGTTATTATTATTAATAATGCTGATTAATGTTGACATTATTGTTATTTGAACCATTTCACTCGTGCTCCAGCTGTTTTATGCTACAGAAACCATCCAGGTATCCAAATGTTCAGCTTTTTCAGGATGACTGATGTATTACTTTGACTTTTTGTAACTTTTATAGTTGTTTTTTCAATATTTAGACTGTTATGGATTTCTTTTATCAGGCAAGTTTACTAATAACCAAAACAGATGTTTTGAAGTTGCAGACGGTCCATTTTAGCTCAGAACTGTGTGATGTGTGGGAGACCTGCCGTGGTATTCACCTCGTACACTACTCACTTGATCTGAATGCCGGAGGTTGTCACAAATCTTACAGGTCTCCAAACAGGTACTGAACTTCAGCTCCGTGTGGAGGTGGGAATGCTCGATGTGGTCTCTTAAAAAGATTGCAGAGTGAATCAGTTTGTCCTCCTGGTTTAAGCAGTCTTCATTCAAATCTTTGACTGGACTTTGGGGGATAGTCAGGCTCTTTGTCCAGCTGCTTCACAGTGCTGGTGTTTTTTAAGAACCAGCTCACATTTCAGACTGTTGATTTGAACTTTGGCACCAAGACTGCAGAAACACTGTGTTTGCTGCATCTGCAAATTATCTATGAACCTCTTACAGCAATCCCACTGACAGTTGATGAGGTCAGTGCTTCTAACTTTGGGCTTTTTTTAGGGTGTTACCTGCATAAAGAGAAGCCGACATTATTCTAGTGGTGTTAGGTTATTGACGATCCTCCTCCAGGTGATTCTCATCATGTAACTCATATCTGTTGTGTTTCTTTGACAGCGGTGTCTGTGTGTGTCTCTTTCAGTTGTCCTCAGCGGGTGACGTGGATGTGAATGTTAATATGCAGAAGGTTCTGTCTGAATACAATGGACCAAAAGACCTCAACAGCCTGCTGGGGAAGTACCTGTACATAGCTGTACTGGTGGAAGAGAGCACAGGTGAGCATGGATCACTGCTCTTAGCCCGATTCTTTGAAATACTTAAATATTTAATTTGTGGGGCGGATTTTGTCTCTCAGGTGGTATTACTCAGGAGACCGAGTTTGCTGCAGTGAAGTTTGTCAAATCACCTTACAGCCTGAGCCTGGTGTCCACGCCCCCCTTCCTCAAACCTGGACTGCCTTATAACATCCAGGTGTGTGTCATAGAAGCTCTTTATGTTTAACGTGTGGTTCAGGCGACCGTCGCTCAGTTTGAAGCCTTTTTGAGGGATTGTGCGATGCCGTGTTCAGACCAAGTTTCATGTCGTGGTCCTCGCACGAATACAATCGCTGTGCTCTAGAAGCACTTCACATCCCACAAATACTTTCCTATTATAGCCAATGGGAGCGGGAGCAGTATTAGTGATAGCTGCAGTCGTTTCACGGCGGCATATCTTCAGGGTTTTCAGAACCAGGAAGTCTGACTATGCTTACTTTTTTCTGAATCCTCTTCTTCTTTGCTGTGCTGCCGTTATCTTCCATTTGTGAGTGTCCATAGTGTCTCAGGCTTTGGACCAACCTCAGAGAACAGGTATTAGCACCAAAGCGTCAAAGTCATTTTTCACCAAAGCTCAAATAGTTTCTGAAAATGCTGGTTAGAAAATGACCCAACTAAAAACTAAAAACATTGATAGGAAACTCGCAGAACAGACTAAACAATATATGAAAGGACACAGTTTTTTTTGTAATAACACAAAAAACACAAGAATCCAATAATTCCAAACTGTGGGTCAGAGACCGATGACCACATCAGGCTGGCTGCCCAGATGCTGCCCACTCCTGATCATCCATTTCAGTTTAATCCTTTCATGCATGAATTATGACAGCCTCAATCAGGATTTCTTAAGTATTTTTATTCATCTTTGAACTTCATTTTTATTAAACATGTACTTTTTGAAGAGTTTTTTTTACATGTCCACTTAGGTGGACAACATACGTGTCACTGGGTGGCAGTTATGGAGTGACACATTAGTGTCCAGTGTAGTGGTTTATGTGCAAGTATACCATCAACACTGACACAAATACAAGAGCACGGCCTTTGAATAGTTGTCCACTGTAGTGACCACTATGTGTGAAAGGGTTAATTCAGTTCTATTCATAGAGTGCCAAATGATAACAACAGTGCTTCATACTGTAAGGTAAAGACTCAACAGTAATACAGAGAAAACCCAACAATCAGATGACACCCTTTGAGCAAATGCTTGGTGACAGTGGGAAGGAAAAAGAACACATTTTCTTAGGTGTGATTCCTCCCAGAGATGCAGATCCTTGTCAGGAAGGACATCCACTGTGAAACCTCTGCTGAACCAAGCAGGTGGAGCTACCTGCTGTAGTGATTCCTGTGGCAAAGGAGCAGCTGAAAGCAGCTTTACCGAAGAACAATCATGAGCCTTACCATTATCCGTCCATCCATCCATCCATCCATCCATCCGTCCATCC